CCTGAAAACTTGTCAAAGGTTGAGGTCCACAAGTGTAAAGAGAAAATCCAGATGAAATTACTATATTGCCCTAACTAAAACTTTTTTTTAAAAGAAAAAAAAAAGTCAATGAGGAAAATCAGGGCAAGACAATTTAAAAAGCGCACACCCACATTGCTGAACTCCAGTAATGTGCAACATATTATTCCCAAGTGTAACTAATTTTCATATAGGTGTGACTAATCTTTCACTAAGTGCATTTACGTTATGGGCAACTAAACTCCAATAACGTGCAAGATATCATCCATAAGTGCAACTAAATTCTGTATAAGTACAATTGATCTTTTTTTCTTTTATAAGAGCAATTGATCTTTCATTAAGTGCATTTATGTTAGGTACAAGTGAACTCCAATAGCGTGCAACTAAACTCTAATAACATGTAATATATCATTCTTAAGTGCAACTAAATTTTATGTAGGTGTAATTAATCTTCCATTATGTGCACTTCCATTAGGTGCAACTACATTTTCCTTACATACAAGTCAAGGTGCAATTGGTATTCCATTTTGTGCAACTTACGTTAGGTACAATTGAACCTCCATAACATGCAAAATATCTTTCCCATATGCAACTAAATTTAGTGTATGTGCAAGTGATCTTTTATTACATTCAAAACATGGAGTGTGCAATTTAACTTCCATAACATACAAGATATCTTCTTTATGTGCAACTAAATTCAGTATATGTGCAAATGATCTTCCATTATATTCAAAACTGTGCAATTTAACTTCCACAATGTGCAAGATATTTTTTTCATATGCAACTATATTCAGTGTATGTACAAATAATCTTTCATTATATTCAAAACATGGAGTGTGCAATTTAACTTCCACAACTTGCAAGATATTTTTCCTGTGTGCAACTATATTCAGTGCATGTGCAAATGATTTTTCACTAAAGTCTAAGGGTATTTTGGTCTTTTTTCTTATTATAGTTATTTACACTAATGGACCTCAGCCTCTTATTATTTTTAGGGACCAAGTCCAAATAGATTTCCAAATGGGGATTTATCCCCAATTTCCCTATTTTTAATAGGAAACTGTTTACCATTTTTTTCTTTTATAATTTTTTTTTTTTGGTTTGGTTTCAAGATGTCATTTTATCAAGAGAGATTGGCATACATGTGATAGTGACTTTTATCGCTTAATCAATTAATCGGAGTTTCACTCTTAGCCCTTTATATATATGTAGTAACATAGTCGAGAAGAGCTTAATTACTTTCCACTCTCAATATACCTGAGAAAGATTAATCTGTGCCATTAGTCAAATACACTTTTTTTTTATTGCTCACAAATATCGTTCTATTAGAAGCAATTCTATCTAAAACATGATTAGTTTATGAGAAACTAGAAAAGGAGAAGTTCATATGAACATAAATAGGAGTCTAGTTAGAAGTGGATTCATTGTTTCTAGTATATGGTAGTTTATATGAAACTAGAAAACATCTTTGTTACAAACTAGACATAAAGGGAAACAACTAACAAGTTCCTGTTTTGGTATTGTAACGGTGCCCATGGTTTCCAAAGCAGATAACTACAAAACGATGAAGATGAATGAGACGCCTCTTCATGTATATCCACACGCAACTCTCCCAGTAACACCAAAATTCCTTAATTGTAGCTTTTACTTCACAAACAACACTATATATCACAGTCACTTTCCATCTATTAATTTCTTCTTCTTTTTTATTTAATTTTTAGAATATAATAATGGAATGATAAAGCCAGCTCTCTATTCTTTTTTAAAAAAAATTCTATAAATTTTTAAAATTGAAAAAAGAAGAAGAAGAAGAAAATCAAAACGCAGTCTTGCATTAGCTTTACACTCTTCATCAAAATTATCAGAATGATAAAGTTTCGAAACCCAACACATTAATTTCTTCCACGTTTAACATTTTGCTGCCAAACTCTATTTCTCGGTCGGTTCGTGTGTTTAAATTTTATAATTGGATATTATATATTCAACTTTACTTGATTTAAAATTCGAATCTTAGTTTTGCTGTTCAAATGGCGTCTGTAACATTTAGAAGGAACACTATATTACATGACTCAATTATCACGTGCTTAATAAGTACTAGCTTCCTGGTCGGAACCTACCATAATTAAATTTGCACGTGTGTATAGGGATGGATGCTTATGGTTCTGATGCGTTTCTCTTCTTGTTATTAGGACGAGACGACCATAAAGTTTATAATTCTTAGGAATATTTTTTTTTAGCATATCCTTGACAATTTACCGATCAGTTCACATCACTCATTAAACTTGCAGATTAATTTTATCTTACAAAAATCATATTAGGAAAGATATCTCCAATTAAACTTAATAATATTTAAACTTCACTTGATAATAATTAAATATTAGATAATTATATTTTAAAATATTGATGGAAAAAAATTATATTTTAAAATATATTACAAGACATTTTTATTTTTCTTTTCAGTTCACATCACTTTCTTTCTAATTAATTTTCTCCTCCATATACTTCTGAATCATCAACACTCTAAAACAGGTAAAACTCATGAAACTCAAATACCTAGACCCGCTACTTGTAAATATCATCATCATTGTCCTAAATAATAAACGATTAAGGTGAAAATTTGTCTTAAAAGTTTTTACTTTAATTTGGAGTGCTGATGAATATCCAGAAGTATTTTATAAGTAAATTTGCACCAAAAGTTTAAAATCATAATAATATTATTGTCTCCTGTTGTTAAAAATGTTAACAGCCAATGTCACTGTTTTGATAGTTAACATTAGTTTTTTGAGGATAAGGGGTAATAGTGCTACAATTTTAAATCTTTAGATAAATTTGCTCCTAAAAAAAAATTTCAAATATCCAGAGTTCATGAGTAAAAACTTTCACAGGACAAATTTGCACCTTAACGTAATAATAAAAGACACCAAGTACTTTCTTTTAAAGATTTTCTTAAATATTAAATATGAGGTTGTGAGTTCAAATTATATACATATATGTAGTTTTAGAAGAGAGTGTGAAATTAATATAAAAATTTATGACAAAATTAACATCGAAGCGATGGGTATGTGTTTATCATCTAGAACTGATATTTGGAATCACTTGACCCCAAGGAAAAAACTTATCCATGAAAAAGGAAGGGGAGGGATTTTTTTTTTTTTTGGTCCAAGTATTTGAGGAGGTCAAAGTAAATGCATAAAATATCCAAATTGGAATGAAAATAACCAATAAGAAGAGGGACATGAGGATGAATGGCATATGTATGGCTGCGAGTTGAGGGTCCTCAGAAATCTTATCCTGGCGTGTGTGAAAAGCTTGCTTGGCCCTCTCCTAACTACTTGCGTTCCCTTCCAGATAACTTCCTCAAAACGGCGCTTCCTCACCAGTATTCACTGCATCTTTTACTCTCCCCAGGCCACCTCCATATACGATGTACGTTATAATTAGTCCTCGGTCAAACGTACACACCTGTATAGTTTTTATTCTCACTACCCAACGAAACGCTTTGTCGTTTAGCCCTTCGTCTCTGCTTTTGCGCTAGCTAACAGGTGTCAGCTATCAATTGGATAATACGTTACCATAGTCGCTCATCCTTCTTAATTAACGCTCCCATTAATTTATCATTAGGGTCAACCATGATCACCTTCATGCAACTTCGATTTATATAATATTTATACATATTGATCACGAGAGTGAATTATTAGTCCAAGTGTGGAAAATTACACATAAATTTGTCTTTTTCGTTTTTTTGGCCTTACTTAGCAGGTGGTGTTGTAATTAATTAACATCATATTCAGCCTTCACATTAATTCTCATATTATAGGGACGTCATAAACCCAATTGATAGTTTTGACTACTGTGATCGTCATCAGCTTCATAACGTCAGTCTCTTACCATTTTTTCCTAATTAGGAAAGCTACTTCAAATTGAATGCTTTGGCATATCACTAAATGTTTTGAATATTTTTGAAATTCACATTTTTTGTGGATGTTGGTTTTGGTATTTAAAATTTAAAACCAGTAGCTTTGATTTTTCATCCTTAAAATCTTGCTTCAAGGGTAAAAATATTATTTTAGGAACAAAAATTTTTTGAACAGGCAAAAAATATGTCAGATTTCAAGGATTAAACTAATTTCAAATTTCAGGGACTAAAATCAAAACGAAATCAAGTTTTGAGAATTAAAAATAATACTTCTCCGGTCCTTAATATAAGACCCAATTATTAAGTTATTTTGGTCCTAAATATAAGACTCATTTCTTATATTTATCAATTTTTTCTAAATTACCCCTATGGATACTCCCTTAACCATAATCAAGTAGAAGAGGGAGATGGGGTATTAAAAAAGATGATTATAGTGTTTTAGGAAAAATATGACACTTTTTTTATAATTAACTAACTTACCTAACTTCCTTAATTTAATCAAATTAGTTAAATGGGTCTTATATTAAGGACTGGAGGAGTATTAACTTTTTTTTTTTTATCATTCTTTGATAAAAGGAACTCATGCACACACACATCATCTCATGAACAGTGGAATAAACTGGGTAAAATATCCTCACAGTGCAGAACTGCACATACCATTTGATTATTCATTATATTTTCTTTTCTTTTTCAAAGATATCATATGCTTCATATATATGTTCAATTGACCAACTTTATTAGAACCGAGTCTAAAATAAAACTTGAGGGAAGACCATCATATGCGTCCAAATATGGAAATAAGCGAACTTGGTACATACACCTTAATTCCTATTGTTTGCTCCAATCTATCATTCTCCTATGATGAATCGGGGCCAATAAGTATCTTAATCAGCTGTGTGACATGCTGTCAATTGAATATTTATTTATTTATTTAAGAAATTATTAACAAAAGAGAGGGGACACGTAACAGCAGCCAGCAACATATCCTTTCTCTACCTGAGTGCATGCATCCAAAACCCACCCTCCTCTCCCTCCTCTCCTATATATAATCCCATAACCCGGCCCTCTTTTTTTATCATTATTCCAACCTCCACATAACCTCCTCAACCTCCAACTGTATCTTCGCTTCTCGAAACCGGAAAAAGAAAAAGAAAAGAAAAGATGACTTGTTCTTCCACCACCACCGTCTCCAAATGCACTGTCTACCCTAGCCAGCCAACTGTATCTTCTCTTCTCGAAAATGGAAAAACAAAAAGAAAAGAAAAGATGCCTTGTTCTTCCACCACCACCGTCTCCAAATGCACTGTCTACCCTAGCCAGCCCTCCTCCCTGGAATCCCTCAAGCTCTCCGTCTCCGACCTCCCCATGCTCTCTTGCCACTACATCCAAAAGGGCATCCTCCTCCCTCCCCCTCCTTTCTCCTTCCCTGACCTTCTCCTCTCTCTTAAGCGCTCTCTTTCTATTACTCTCTCCTTTTTCCCTCCCCTTGCCGGTCGTCTTTTCACCGATTCCGACGGGTATGTCCATATTCAATGCAACGACGCCGGCGTCGAATTCATCCATGCCTCCGCCAAACACCTTGCCACTCACTCCATCCTTTACTCTCCCACACTCACTGACGTCCCTGGCTGCTTCAAGGAGTTCTTCGCTCACAGCAAGACTATCTCCTACACTGGACACACTCTCCCCCTCGTCGCCGTCCAAGTCACTGAGCTTGCTGATGCGGTTTTCATCGGATGCACTGTTAATCATGCCATCGTCGACGGCAATTCCCTCTGGCATTTCTTCAACACCTTCGCTGAGATCTGCAGAGGAGCGAAAATTTCCAAATTCCCCGAATTCACTCGAGATACCGTTTTCAACTCCTCCGCCGTGCTTAAAGTCCCCGCCGGCGGCCCCAAGGTCACCTTCGACGACGAACAGCCGCTGAGGGAAAGAGTATTCCATTTCAGCAGGGAGGCAATTCAAAAACTTAAGCTCACAGCTAATCAGTATGGCGGGAACGGTGTCACGGATTCTACAGAGTTCGTTGAAAAGAAAGTTAACGGGGAGATAACGACCGTCACGGCGAACGGGACCGCCCACAAGACGGAAGAGATTTCGTCGTTTCAATCATTATCAGCACAGCTGTGGCGTTCGGTGACACGTGCGAGGAAGTTGGACCCACGCAAAATGTCGACGTTTCGCATGGCGGTGAACTGCCGCCGACGTCTGGAGCCGAAGATGGACGCTTATTACTTCGGGAACGCGATACAGAGCATCCCGACCGTTGCCGAAGTCGGGGAGATTCTGTCTCGGGATCTACGGTGGTGTGCGGATCTGCTGCATAAAAACGTCGTCGCACATGACGACGCAACGGTGCGGCGCGGCATAGAGGATTGGGAGAAGTCCCCCAGGCTGTTTCCCCTTGGTAACTTCGACGGCGCTTCGATAACCATGGGTAGCTCTCCGCGTTTCCCCATGTACGACAATGACTTTGGGTGGGGCCGACCGTTAGCGATTCGGAGCGGGAAGGCCAACAAATTTGACGGTAAGATCTCTGCGTTTCCGGGGAGGGAAGGAAACGGGAGCGTTGACTTGGAAGTCGTTTTGGCGCCAGAAACGATGGCGGGGCTCGAAAACGACATGGAGTTCATGCAGTACGTAACGTGAACGGCGTGAGCGGTTACAGCTTAGTTAATCTCGGAAATACGACAAAATGAATGGCATCGGAGGATGATACGACGACGTTCGCTTTTGTGATGGATGGGATGGTGGGACCATGTTATGAATGTATGGAAAATGTGCCCTTTGCACATTCGTAAAAGGAAAAAGGCGCTCATTTTTCAAAAGGAGAATTGGCCGTTGGGGATCAATGTCCTCATCATCGACTAGATAAAACTTTTTAATGCTGTCTTCAAATCTATTATTTCTCTAGTATTTAATATAGGACTTAATTATTGAGTTGATTTTGGTTCTAAATATAAGATTAATTTCTCATATTTATCAATTTTTTCTAAATTACCCATATGGATACTCCCTCAATTATAATCAAGTAGAAGAAGGAGAGGAGATATTAAAAAAGATGATTATGGTATTTTAAGAAAAACATGTCACATTTCTTATAATTAACTAACTTACTTAATTTCCTTAATCTAATCAAATTAGTTAAATGGGTCTTATATTAAGGATCGAAGAAGTAGTTTGAAATCGATTGTGTTTTTTATTAAAATGATAACTAACATTTGGCAGTTAATATTTTTAATGATTTAAGACTTTTTTTTTTTAGTTTATAAGTTTATAAACAAATGGACTCGATTTTGAGCTCATTAGAAACGTCCGTGCAATGCATAAGATGGTATAAAATTGATGATTGATATTATTAAAAATGTTAATGTTCTAATTAATAAATATTATGACATGTTTACAATTTCAATGACTTTGAAAATTTTCTTCAACTTAACTCTACTCATTTTGAAGCAAACAGGATATTATAAGATTTTAAGTATAAAGTTGATGATGCTGATTGAATGATATCGTAAATTCAATTGACTCACGATTTTGGTAGTACTGGATCCAAAAAAAAACATTTAAATACATATAGCTCTTGCTCAAAAATTTGAGACAAAATTGAATCTTCATGGAACAATTCCTTGTCAGTAAAGGAGGATAGCCTTTTATCCTTGAGAGATTGTTCATGAACGTGGTGACGGATTTATGAATCATGCGAGTGCAAGAGAAGCGGGTAAAGATTATCCATAATTGCAAGGGGATCAATAACTATAATTTGGATCTAGGAAATGAAGCTAGAAGATCTCATTATGAATGCTTTTAGGCTTCAAGTAGAAGGGTCGGTGCTGCACAATGTTGAATATATTGAAGACTGAAGAGGACAGAATAGCATTCTCGGGATTGGAATGTGCTTAGAACAATTTAATTGCACCTCATTTAGGTAGATTACGACGCATACCGGTTTTTTTTTTTTTTTGGGTACCTTTAATCAATCCACACCTCATTAGAGAGATGGCTAATGGTGAAAGGCCCCACACACACGTACATATCCCTTGTATTTTGTGTTCATTTTGCTAGCGATACTTAGGGGGTGTTTGGCAACCTCCAAACTATGGTTTCAGAAACACTTTTTCACAAAACGAGACAAACTCCTCCACATATTTACTTCGTAAACTGTAAAAGCACTTCTGAAACGATGGTTTGATTTCTATCCAAACACCCATTTATATTTTGTTAGGTTTTTTTTTTTAAAAAAAAAAAGGTCAATACCATGCCTAATCTGACATTCAATCTCATTTTAGTTTTAGCCTATCAAATTTGAAATCCCTGACTTTGATTCCTGAAATTTGGTATCATTTTGGTTGGTCTAAGGATTTTTTGTCCTTAAAATAGTATTTTCAGTTCTTAAAGTTAAACTTTAGAAACTAAAGATGATATTAACCCCTAAAAAGTAAAAAGTTATGACTATGTTTGATTGGAAATTTTCATATAATAGATCAACCTATCAACTATTTTAAAACATTTTTTACCGCATATAGTCAAATAAGAGATTTTAAACATTTGATGGGTTAGGATCCTAAAAGAAAGAAATTCCCTCAAATTTGCCAGTGAATATAGAAAATTATAACATAATAAGGATACGAACAAATAACCCAAGTATTTCATAAATGAACTCACTCAATGTAAAATTAGAGAACCTATACAGTTGTACCATCTTATAGTCCCCATCAGAGACATAAATAGACCTACTAAAGCTTAACCAACGAAAATTAGAGACGCAGCTATGATTAACCCCTAAGCAATGCACAGGATACAATTAAACCAAGTTGTGATCTTTGCCATCACACAATAACCATGTACGCAAGTACTGAGAAGCACGATTCCAATAAATCAACAGATCCACACTGAACTTTTTTTTCCTCCTATTTTTCTCAAGAGTCTATGACCCACTACTTTAAACGATTACCCAATATTTTAGCCAGGCTCCTTCAAAATGACACCTCCAGTTTATTTCCCAGAAGGTTGAAGATTTACCAATCAAAGCCTTCTCTTTCATCATCCACTTCTTCATCACCAGCGTGCAGGTTCTGTGCTTCTGAACATGAATTCATTTCCTTGCTAACTGTTCTTCGCACCTTGTGTAATTGCCCTGTACATCAGAATGTCAGAAGTCAGATTTCTTGCAGACTATGCTGCATATGACGATGAATGTTTGGTGCTCATGGTATAATCTCAATTTATTGGACGTTCAAGTGTAATAATTCATTTAAAAGTATTTATTGGTCAACCTGAAAAAATAGTGGCTAAAAATACAGCACAAGTCACCATGTTTAGTTTTACTAAATTAATCACATCCCTCTCAAATACAAGGCTCCTTTAAAGCCAAACCAAGCTTGCAAAACAAAAACAGCATAAGCTTGGAAAATATAAAAGCATCACCTGTAGTCCGGGTCTGGGAAAATACATTTAGCCAACCATTGTAAGGGTCTTAACAATTGAGCTTGTTTCTTGCGCCAGTACCAAATGGCAGCATTGTAATTTTCATTGCGAATCTTTCTCGTGGCTGCCCTCCAGTCGAACTTTTCCATTTCCTGTCGTGCGGCTGTGCCCATGGTTTCTCTCAACTCTCTGTCATGCAACAGAGGCTTTAATTTGCTTAAACAGTCTTCAATATCACCCGGATTGTAGAGATAGCCTATCCTTCCATCTTGATCTGGAGGAATTATGTCAGGAACGCCACCGGCTCGTGCTCCCACCACAGGAATCCCAGAAGACATGGCCTCCAAAACAACAAGCCCAAGTGTCTCAGATTCTGAAGGCATGGCAAAAACATCACCACTGGCATATGCTTGAGAGAGTTCTTCCCCTCCTAACATTCCTGTGAATACTGCTGGCATCCCTTCGAACATTTTTTCCAGCTCCTCCCTGCCAGTTAGAAGCAAATATTTTAAGAAGTGGCAAACACAATAGCATCAGGATGCATTGCTTTACAAAGAGATGGATTAGAGATATTTTTCATGTAAAAACGTCACATGCAAGACGGTTGAGTTTCAATAACTCCTTATACCACATCACCAGAGATGAACGGGACTATATGATTTGCAAATTTATGCTTTTAGTACTGGGGAAAGATGGTAGGACACACAGCATGCCCTTCTAAAAGGAAAGAGTGAAAAGTCAAAACCCTTTTCATAAGGGCAGTAGCGGGCAAGGAAGTAAGTCCCCTGCAGCACTTTGAACATATTTGAGAGAACAAGCAACGGAGCGAATTACCTGTATGGCCCATCCCCAATAAAAGCAATGCGTGCTTCAGGAAGCCTGTCCATAAGGCTGCCAAAAAATGTGTTCCAAATGTCAAAGGAAGTATATAGATATTAAAATTGCCATTCAAAATATATCTGGTGTGGCATGAAGAAGGAAAGTATATCAATGATTAACGAAGAAGATTTCACCGCGCTCTCATTTTGTGGATTTTAAGACATTCCGGAAAAAGCCTCTGCAACTCCATCAAAGGCAAATTTATAAACTAATGAAACAGTGGTTCCTTAACTCAGATAGATAAAAATTCTACCTTTTGAGAAAATCCAAACTCTTTTCAACTCCAAGTCGCCCAACATGTACTATCAAGGGCTTTTCAGGTTCCCCATTACTGTTTGACACAAAAGTTTAGAATTAAGATGAAAATTCCCACGATGTCAAAATTGTGACTATGGAAGGAATAATAAATGGTTTCCACCTCAATCTTAGTCGCATTTCATGTGAACGGAATTTCGGATGGAAACTTTCAGAGTCAACACCCTTGCTCCACACACGAATCCTATTAGCTAAGCATTGACAAATAAAACAGGTGAGCTAAAAAATGCATGACAAGGGATGTTAGTGCTCACCTAGTGCAATCAATTGACCATAGTCTAAAGACAACTAACTGATTAAAATATGTTTAATTTACCTGCTGTTACTTGAAATTTTTCAAGATCTTTTCCAATGGCAGCTGATGGCACCAGCGTCAGATCAGCTGCTCGATGAAGAAATTCTATAGAAAATTGCAAAAGGTATTATTTTATGTTCATAATACTAAAGTCCGATCAGATTACTGAAGAAAGATACATACTCAAGATCATCCACATGGGTTTGACCAGCCAACTAAATGTGTATCGTGGAATGTATCTGAGAATGGAAAAAATTTGGCAATCAGCAAAAGGATGCCTCTAGCGTGAACAAGGCTGAGAAATCATAATATGAATGAAACTTACACAGGTACATGAGTATGATAGGACATAAGAATAGGAACAGACAAAAGTTTAGCAATGGCAAGAGCACCAAAAACCTGAAATTTAGCCAATGTCAGACGTGTGCCAGATAGATCTATAACACAGCATCATGCCTTATAATAAAAAATGAAAAATAAACATAAAGTCACGAGAATTGTAGACCAACCATTATGCCTGGTGATGAGGCATGTATTATGTCAGGCTTGAACCGGGCAACCTCTGAAATTATTCTGGGACTAAGTGCCAAGGAGAGTGGTACCTTCTGATACCAAGGAAAGGGGAAGCTGCATTTTGAAGTTTTAGAAAACATAGATGTTTAGTTAGGTGAACTAAAAAGTGTACATCATGTACTGGCAAGAGATGAGATAAGGTAGAACAATAGTTGACAAATACTCCTCCAGTCCTAAATGTAATGCCCATTTTGTAGTGTAATTTACACTACAAAATAGGTATTACATTTAGGCCTGGAGGAGTATAAGCATTATTCACTTCACAAGCAAGTAAACAAAGAGAGACTTAAGCTAAACAACCGCAAAAGTTATTTTTAACAACCTCCGAGATCCAATAATTTTGGCACCATAAAATTCTTCGGGGGCTCCTTCATGGGTGGTCACAACCAGTACCTACATTCACAAATAAGAACATTCAGAAATGGCATATCAGAGCTCAAAACTTCAAGCCAGCCTGTTCTTATTAGCCCATTTGCAGGTTCAGCTAAAAATTCCTAAGACAAGAATGTGCATAATTCAAGTTATAAGTTTACTACTGAAAGACAAGTGGCTCAGCAACTCAGCTCAAAGTCCAAATAAATCCAGGAAAATTTAATGCTTAAGTAGAAGCTGCATTATTCATGCTAATGTCTTCATAATAATGGAGCAAGAGCTTTCCATCCCAAACAGTTTTCAAATAATTGAAGCTACTATATAAAAGTACCAAGTGTAGAAGAATAAAAGACGGGAATTGCTAGTGGGAAGCACCTCGTCTCCCATTTCACGGAGGTATTTAATGAAATTCTGATACCGGTTTTTGTATCCAGAGACATATCTGCAAAATAGATATAGTTCTGAATAAGGGTACCGTTCAAAATGAAGAGCTCGAATCACACATAAATTATGCCAAAGGTAATGCCGTCTAGTCTGATCAGGATAATTCACCATTATACAGAACAAACAACAAATTTAATGCCTGCTCATAGATCAATGACGATTTGAGCCGAGAATTCACACCTAAATATTGAGAAAGTCATAGAATAAGTAAAATTAAAACTTTTGTGATGAAGAGACTTCGGAACACGCATAAGGAGCATTTTGACACTCCCAGAAATGATGAGCTCAATACCAGCTAAAAAAGGACTGGGAAAAAAAAAAACGGTCAAGGCCGATTCATCTGATTGAAGAGAATCTCATTTATAGTGTGGCCCCAACGAACTCCAATTTTACAACAGCAGGATATGCAGTGAACAGTAAATCTGAAACGTTATTGAGCAACATGCATCCTTAAATTATTTCTCTCCAAATTCATTCACTTATTTATTTTTCTGGCAATTCATTGTTGAGCAAGAAAGCATATTTCACAGACATTCCTGCAACTTAACAAAGCAGACAGAAGCCTATCGCTTTTGACCTTAAAGCTGATGCCACCAAACTCCACGAAGTCAACTCTTAATCGGAATAATAAGGCAAGTCATTTATTTGAAAATTGGAGCCCAAAATAGTTAAAGCCTTGAGAAAAGAAGGAAAAATTAAAAGGGGTCTCAAACACCCCCACACTGACCAATGAAAATTGAGCACAGTGAAGATCAACATAGAAACTCACGCAAAGGGAGAAGGCTCAACAAAGAGGGCAATTCGACGAGGCGTCGAGATACTCTCAATGTCAAGCAAAGCAGGAGGCCCTTCCTCTTCCTCCTCATGTAAATCAGCCTCCGCAATGGTCATCCTGCCAGATTCAAGAGCAAAACTTTTCCTACCCTTCACGCTCTTTGACCTCAACAAAGGGCAGAATCGCACCCTTCTGTAGTAAAGATTACTGGGCTTTGCTCCCACCGAGCGAGGATGTTGAAATATAATACCTTGTAATGGGAATAAGCAAGATGTGGAAGGGGACAATGAAGCAGACGCTAAAGGGAGAGAAAAGAAGAGAGAGAGGGTTTTATAGAGAGAGGAGCAGCACTCATGATCGTATAAGTAAGCGAGTGAAATTAAAATATATTCATTAGTTTCGTCAGTAGGTGTTGGGCAAAGGAAGGTAGAGAGAGAAAGAATAGGGAGATGGAGAGACCAATGAAAGAAAAGGAATCTCACACACTTGGTAAGGACTCTTGTTACGGATATTCTTTTTTGAAGGCGGGTCAGTAAGGAATAAAAATGGGAGGCATGCGAGCATATGCTGTTGGGTCACTCTCTTTCGTCCAGTGGGGGTCAGTTTAACAATTTCTAAATTTTGTGGGCCGAATTTCTCATTAGAAAAATGTGTTCCCTCCCCCTTCTGAACAGCACGAGGGGCACATAGAAAATTAGCATTTTAATATTTGCAGAATTAATGATTCACATTAAACAGAATATAAAATTGATGTCACAGTCGCTTTCACTAAATCAATCAAATTCGGCATCGTTTAATTCTGATTCGTGTAAAAAATTTGACAAAGAAGGAATATTGAAAAAAATATATATTCAATTTTAAAAGTATATAGATTTGTATAATCCATATATCCAATATATCCAAACTGATGTACAGGCCTTATTTGAATACCACCTAATTATCTAAATTACACGATTGGCCGAAATTGAAATTTTAATTCAGAATTAGGAATTGGGTAATAATAAGTTATAAAAGATCTCAGCGGAAATCTGGTCAGAAGATGATGGATTTTTTTTTTTGGTTTTCAAAAATTGAACACGATCGAGAAATTTAAAAACTTTTTATGGATGGTACTAAATGAAAATATGAAAGTTATTTTGAAAATTATGGTGATTAATGTATTCTCAATATCTTAAACCGAATAATATCAGCAGCACATCTTGAAATTGTGTTAGTCAAGAATGGAACATATTCCTTTTAACCGTTCACACTCACTTTCGTCATTTTCCAGTCCCAGACGGAAAGCAAATTATATTCTCACCATTATTCAGTTGGTGAAAAGTACTTGGAAAAAACTTCATACCCGAAAGGAATGTGATTCGGAGGAAGCTAGGCGGCGTCAATCATGAAGGAATCAGAATTCATTCCTGCAAATGCAAATCCACCACTTTGAAGAGGAATTCTTAGGTGCTACAGGAGTACCACCTCATTCAAACTCTATCCAATAAATATATTCCAGTCCCATTTTAATTAGATTAAAAAAGTTAGATAAGTTAGTTAATTATAAGAAAAGTGACACATTTTTTCTAAAACACCATAATCATCTTTCTTAATACCTCATCTCCCGCTTCTACTTGATTATGGTTGAGGGAGTATCTATATGGGTAATTTAGAGAAAATTGATAAATATGAGAAATGGGTCTTATATTTAGAACCAAAACCAACTCAAGAATTGGGTCCTATATTAAGGATTGGAAGAGTAATAACCTCTTCATCCCATTGTCAATACAATTAAGTTCTTTTTTTTTTTGGTGAACACACTACAATTAATGGATGTTTGGGTAATCCCAAAAGTATTTTTTTAGAAGCATTTTTCTATAAATTGAGATAAATTCCTTCACATATTTATTTCGTACACTGTAAAAATACATTTAAAATTATGATTTTGTTTCTTGCTAAACACCTCGAGGGAGAGAGATATAATATGGAGCGAGAGGGAGAGGAGCCACAGGGTAAAAACCGAGGAGGAGGGAGAATTAATTGCAAGGGGCAGGGAGTAATTTCAAAAAAAAATAGCGGGACCCACAATTATGTTCTCTGATTTTTTTTTACCAATTACATGTCAGATAAAAATGCCCCTGCTTGGAATACATTTATTAGACAGTTTGAATGAGGTGGCACTATGGGAGTACCTAAGAATTCCTCCCACTTTGAAACCTTGCACATGGAATGTATTCATTGCCTAGGTAGAGAGAGATGCTTTCAAATTCGGACTAATTTTGGAATGAGATATTCCCTCCGTTTCTTATTACAAGAAACAAATAATCAAATTATATTAATAAAAAAAGGTTAAAATTAGTTGAGGACAATTAATGTGTAGAAAGTATAATGTTTTTTTCCAACAATGCCCCCGTTAATAAGGAGAGAGAGTATGAGAGAGAACAATTAAATTATTAAAAGAAAGAGAAGTGGGAGGGAGAGAGAGTATAAGTTGGAAACAAAATAAATAGGGATAAAATAGAAAATCAATACAAAAAAATAAAAACAATTTTTAAGTGTCTCTTATATATGGGAACATGCTATAAGCATCAAATGTCTCTTATAATAAGGAACGGAGGGAGTAGCAATTAAGATGGACCCAAAAGGGATGAATTATGAGGCCGAGTGGCTGCAAGTATGTTTCATGAGACCGCCAAATGGAATTTGTTCATTCATCAGTTGGGACCATTCACTCTCATCTCTTGCCGCTGGCCCTATATCTGTCTTTCTCTCTATTTCATATATATATATATATATATATATTATTTCCTCCATCCTTATATATATAAAAGTAAAAACTAATTAAATTAAGGGATTTGCATTAAGGTCCACCCAAGAGAATGAAATACAAAAAATTCTGCCACAACTGTTGTTAATCGTTGCATTTTAAGTTGTTAATGACCGCTCTTTCAGTTGTCAACACATACTTAAAAAAAAGATAATTTAATAATTGAATAAGTGAAATATCTTGCAATGAAATTCTTTGAGATTTTAGATTAATTTAATGATTTTAAAAAAATTGTATTTAATTCTCTTATGTAGGACCCTAATGCAATTTTTTATTATATTAAAATGAGTTAGGCACAATAAATAAGTAAGAAATGTAATTTTTTTTCCATGTATATTGTTATTTATAAGGATAATGAGTGAGAAAAGAGACGGATATAAAAATAAAAAAGAACAATAAATTTAATGGGGTAAATATAAGGATTACAAGATATTTTTTCTCTTTACCCTATAAATAGGATTAAAGAAGGAGATATTCATATAAATAGCTTTAACACTGAATTATTTCAATAATCATATTTCATTTCGTACAAATAAATTTTCATGTTATCAAATTCTCATCAGCATTATCAAGATAAACTCGTATAGCTTGTCAAAAGACTCGTATAATTTTCTTTTGTCAATTAACTTTACTATGATTTAATTAATAAGTAGTTAAATATGAAACGTAATTACAGACCTGAATTTTAAGAAAAATAAAAAAGATTGTGCTCCTTACAAATTAAAATCAAACTATAAAGGAGACTAGTAGCTAGATTTAATATTTCTTTTTTGGACTGAGACTTGTAGCTGGAATTGTTAGGTGCTGCATGGGGACCTCTCTTCATGTCTGTTTCATATTTTTACCCTTTTCATTCAAAGGAGCCGGGGAGGCATATCTGTCTTTTGGGAGAATGACAATCAAACGCCCGTGCATCAATCAATTAATATATCAATATATTAGATAAAATCCATGCTAGAAGGCACATAAACACGCGCGCGCGCACGCTTATATATGTACATACTCCCTCATTTCCGCAGTAGATAGAAATTAATTTCTATAATGTATTAATTATTATTTTTTAAAATACTCATTCTTTTAATTTTTTTTTTACATTTAAAGATACTTTTAATTTTTTTACATTTAAAACTACTCTTATTAATTAAAAAGAATAGTTTGAAAAAAAATAAAAGTAGTAGGAGCAAATGAGATTAAGGTCTTCTGTTTAGAATGAAAATAATCGCATTAATCAACTTTTAACCACGCCAATATTTTTTTTACTACTCACCATATTTTTTTTTTAAGGCATGTGTACGCTATCTAATTATAGTAATAAATAATATAACTTATTTTTCTTTTAACCACGCCAAATACCCCCAAAAAAAGTTTAAAAAAAACTATTTAATGAAACTTATATCGTTAAAATATCTTAATTTTTTAGAACACTTCTTAAGGATCTGATAATTTTTTTAAAAAAAAAGGAGAGAAGGAGAGAGCGAAAAGACAAAAATAATCTCTTCCAATATTATTCAGTACTGCTACTATTTATGCTTTCGAATTTTTCAATTGATTTCAATTATAAATCAGTTGCTTTGAATGTTAGGTGAATACTTGCTGAGCTTTCAAGAATTATCACTTACTCCATCTCCAGTTATTATGTGTGTGTAGGGATGTTTAAGACTGACCCATCATGATCGACTTGTTCCAGTCCGGTTTTATTGGGACGGGACGGACCGGTCTAGAAATTTTCCAGAACAGAAAACCGGGACGGGACAAAAAGGGATCAAAATGTGACAGGACACGGGACGGGGTCGTCCCGTCCTGGTACCTTTTTTTTTTATCTTATTTATATAATATCATTTTTTTCATATTTTTTTAAAATTTGAGACTATTGTATGGAACTATAAATATATTTATTTAGAGCTTTTATATTTATTGATGATTTGAGATTATTGATGACTAGAATTTTTAGCAAGTTTTTATTGTGTTAAAAGCTTTTGTTTAGAGTTTTTAATGACTATTATATGTAATATTTTGGGCTTTTGTTTAAGAGTATCCAAACAAATAAATAAAAAAATAAAAAGATGTTTTTATAAGGCCTAAGTCCAAAAAACTATAATTAAAAAATTAGATTTTATTAAAAAATAAAAAAAAATGAGGACATATCGGTCCCGTCCCGTCCCGATCGAGACGGGTTGGGACACGAGATAGAAAATCTGTCCCATTACTGTTTATCGGGATGGAATCTGGACGGACCTGTTCCGGTCCCAATCTGTCCCGTGAACAGCCCCATGTATGTGTAAAATATTATATTATCTTATACACATACATACATATAAAAGGTACGCCGTTGATTTTGTATGCCCAATAATTGGAATAAACTGCCTTAAAACATGTTACTTTGGCAGGGATCGATCTTTTATTTTAGATTATTATCAAGTCCTTACGTCATTAGAAGAAATTTAAAAACATTTATGCACACCTCTATCACTTCAAGTTCGAACTAAACTAAAAATGGGTTAAATTTTAAGTTGGGACCACAATTAATCTATATTACTATATAACCTTCTAAACTTTTTTCTTTAAATTTCACTCAATTATATTG